GTGTGTGTGTGTGTGTGTGTGTGTGTGTGTGTGTAAAATTTCCCTTTCCCAGGAGAACAGGGGCGGGAAAGGCTCCCCTCCGTGTGGTCTCCCGGGCAGGAGGCAGGTCAGGCCGGGTCAGACTGGCCGCGCGGGGCGGTGGGGAGGGGTGGGGGACCGAGATTCCTGAGGCTCCTGGCTGCTCCGTTTCATCTGAACTTGATTAAAAGGAAATGCAAACCCCGGAGCCCGGGCAGGAAAGGTCAGGATTCCAAGCCGGCCCCACTCGCTTCCCTCCTCCGAGCTGGCCGCTCAGCTTTCCCCTCCCCCGGCAGCCTCGCGCCGCCCGGAGGCCCCAGAGAATGGCCCCATTGTGGGGGAGACGAACCAAAATAGCAGCATCTCCTGTTCCCTGCTTCGGGGAGAGGAGATTCACTCGAAACCCCCAAGCCCCAGAGGTGAAGGACATTGTTGTAAATCGGCGATCCTGGACCCGAGCCTGGAAGCTCAGGTGGGCAGGTAGTCGGAGAGCAGCCAGGGCGGCCGGGGGGTGGGGAGCACAATTACACAGTCACTCGTTAACCCAATTAGCAAACGCGGGCAGGGATTCGCTTCATCCCCAGCAGCTCGGCGGGAAGGTGGGGCAAGGGGACAGCAGACTGGCGGGGGTGATGGAGGGGGTGGTGGTGGCGTGGGGAGGGACGGCTGCTGAGATGAAAACGCTAGGGATAAAACTACCCCCCCCCCTTAAGATGGTCAATGTTTTTTTTTTAATCGTTTTATTGGGGGCTCATACAACCCTTAGCACAATCCATACATACATCAATGTGTAAAGCACATTTGTACATTCATTGCCCTCAATGTTGTTTTTATTCTCTAAAAAACAAATGTTTCCCCCCCTTAAGCTGGTCAATGTTTTTATCATCTGAAAAACAAATGGTCCGGATTTTTATGGCGCCCGGAAGCGTTTGCACAAACAGTGTTTTCTTTAATTAATAAGGCAGATGCCAGAGGGGAGCTGCTATCAGGAGTTCAAGGAGAAAGAGAATGTTTTGAAACGGATTGTGGTCGCAATTGTACAGCACTGCCTGAAGTGATTGAGCGATGGAATGTGATGAACTCTGTAAGAACGCCCAGTAAAATGATTATAAAAAGCAAACGGACCCACAGCAGTACCCTAAGTCAAGGAACGAATGAAGTTAGATGCCATCTCCCGGCAGCAGAGGGCTCTGCTGTGGAAGCGCACAGGTGCTTGGGAAACAGGGATTGTGGGATCTGGATTGACCCCAGCCATTCAGACCAACAAGTCCATCATCACTTCCTGAACTGGCCGGAGGGCCCATAAGTTTTCTTCTAGCGGGCGGGGCTGGGGGTGGAAAGGGAGACAACATCTGTAGGCACAACCAACCATGGTGTGTTACCCTCCAGTCACATGCTGCGAGCCAGCGAAGGGGCCGATCTCGGCGTGGGTATAGGCTAAGCTGCAGAGAGGAGCAGGGTTTGCAAGGGAAGGGCAGATGCAGACACATGGAATGTCCAGGCTCTCTGACACTATCCGTTTGGGGGACGATGAGTAGCCTCTGGCCAAGAGGAGTGCGAGACTGGACCCGCGGCAGCAGTGAGGAGTCCCGTGTGACGCAAGCACTTACTGCCAGCTGAAAGGCTGAAGGTAAACTAGTTGGGGGGGGTGGGGGGGGTGGAAAGATCCCAGCTTCTGAAAACCCTTAGGCGCACAGCCCAAGACCCATGGGCTGGAGCGGACTCTCACAACTTTTTTTTTTTGAAGTGGTAGTAATGCCCAGAATGAAGGCATTGGAGTGGGCAGTTAGGATGGGAACAAAGCCTTCCCACCCTCAAGTTGGGGTTTTATTTCTTAGAGACTGCAGGGTTTGGGACTGGCCTGGGAACTTTGCATGCCACATAGGGAAGGAGGGCTCTGTTCATGGCCTTCAGCAAAGAGAGTAGAGCGAGGGAAACTGACCAGAGCTCAGAGTGAGGGGCAGGTGCCGAAGATACACGGGGAAGGGGGCGGATTATGATGGATAAGGGGCTTGGCCTGTCTCCTTCCCCACTCAGCCCTGGAGCTAGTAGCGCTCCACCTCCCAGTCCTCCCTCCACGATTATTCCCTGCGCACGTCTCGCACGCACACCTGTGCCTGTATTCCCTGCGCACCTTACCCACTCTCCAACCTCCCGGGGGATGAGGACAGTCAACCGTGCCAGGCTTTTGTTTTCTGTGTCAAGCGGAGGGTGGGAGCAGCGCCAAGCTCAGAGCCTTGTTCGCGTTTGCCACCAGATATCATCTGTTCTCAGGATGCAGGGTCCCGTGGGTGTCAGGCGGACCGCGACCTTTGGAACCAAATACCTTCGACGGGACCAAGCAGACTTTCTTGCTCAAAAAATATTGGCTGATGACCAGGACGACGGCCTAAGGAGAAACTATGTCCCACCAGAGTTTTTAAGGAAAACAGTCTTCTTTAAGCCACTGACAAGTGAGTGTTCGACTTTCCAAGAGCTATTGCCTCAGACGTGTGTTGCTGCGTGTTACCGGCCACACAGTCAGCCCTGGACTCCCAGTGACCCCATCTACAATGAGGTCAGGTCATTGTGATCCATAGGGCTTTCCCTGGCTGATTTTTGGAAGTTGTTTGCCAGGTCTTTCTTCCTAGTTGCCATAGTCTGAAAGCCCCACTGAAACCTGCTGGGCATCATTGCATCGGGATTGAGCGAGACAGGATTGTCATCTGTATCATAGGATGAAGACCAGGAATGATGCAGGGACTTCAGAAAGTTCATGGAAATTTTCCATTCGCTTTTAATTCCATTTTTCCATGTTCTCTTTGAAGCCCTCGTTTCTGTCCACAACATTGCACCATCTTGGTGTCTGGACCTCTTTTCTTCTGTGTACAACTTCTGAGTCACCCATACCCTCAGGGACACAGCCGTCCTGCTCCCTGGGTAGTTTGAAGCTACCGTTTCTGGAAGCCCCTCCCTCTGCCCAAGGCTGCAGTTGTGTGTGTGTGAACTGAGGAGTAATTCATACCCCCTCTGCACCCCATCATATATAATCCTGCCTTGTTCTCAAAGCCCCAGCCCAAAGACACTCCTGCTTCTTCTCCAGTTTCATAACTGCCCAGCGAACTGCACCTGGTCCCTTGTCCCCTGGGACTGCAAGCCTGGAAACAGAAGAGCTGGTCCCTTGTTTGCCACGGCCGTTCACACAAGTCCAGGCCGCCCAGGCCTCTGGGGGTTTGGAGACTGACTGACTCATTGTGCAAGTCAGCTCGAGAAAGGAATGTGCTCCCTGTTCGTCCAGGCAGGAAGGGACCACAACAGGGCTGGGTCACCTGTGGGCAGAGGTAGGGAGAAGGCTCTGGGATGAGCCCCGAGAGCTTCCCCACAGCCCCTTGAGAGTCCTTGGCCTGTGTCCCAGCTGTGGGCAGCTGGGGGGCACCGGCTCCTTGAGAGGCCAGCCCTGGCAGAAATGGTCCTGGAGCTTTCTCGACAAGCACAAGCTGACCTGCTAGCTTCCTTAGGGGGCAGCAAGGGCGAGTGGCTCTTGATTGGTGTTGTGTCATTTCTTGATGTGGGTCCAGGTGGCTAGCGCCATCACCTCTCCTCCATCCACATGCTGTTGCCAAGGGGGGAGAGAGGAGAGAGAGAGAGAGAGAGAGAGAGAGAGAGAG